ACCATCTCCAAGTGCAAGCCGACTGGCGATACGGCTGCAGACGACGAGCTGTGGTCGCAAACTCTTGGTGAGGTCGAGCAGGGCTGGATCGATGGTCCCTATTGGGCTGAGAGCGAAGTCAGTGAGAGGCTCGGCAGCGCCGAGTGGATGTGCACCAGGAGATTCCCCATCGTCCAGGGGCCGAAGGTTCGCATCATAGATGACTGCCTTCAGAGCGGTCTGAACTCGGCTTATGCGGCATACAACAAGCTCAGGTTGATGGACGCTGATGCGTTTATCTCCCTGGTTCTCTTGCTTATCCGATGCTCGCACCAGCCCGGCAGCATGATTCAGCTCGATTCAGGGGAACAACTTGTGGTGAAGAGACACCCCGAATGGGGCGACGGCCTGGATCTTCTCGGCAAGACTTTGGATCTCTCCGCAGCTTACAAACAACTGGGCTGCCGGCCCGATACAAAGTTTAATCGAGTGTTAGTCGCTTGGAGTCCAGAACGCCGTGCGCCGGCGTTCTTTGTGTCTACCGCCCTGATGTTTGGAGCGTCATCGGCAGTCTTTTCCTTTAACCGCTGCTCGGCATCCCTGTGGCATCTGGCAGTGACGATGGGTTCAGTCTGCTGCACTGTGTACTTCGATGACTTTCCTTGTGCGGAACCATCGGCCTCGTCGGGCTCAGCGCAGGACTTCATGGTGGGGCTTCTGTCCACTTGCTTGGGGTGGAACGTCGCTCTGCAACCTAAGAAAAACCAGCCCTTCTCTCAGACCTTCACCTTGCTGGGCATTGAGCTTTCATTGAAGACGGCGGACCAGGGCATCCTGAAGGTGCGCAACAAGCCGGACCGAGTCTTGGAGCTGCGTGCTGAACTTGACCGGCTTTTGTCACAGGGCTACATGAAGAGGTCTGAGGCGTCTTCCTTGCATGGACGCTTGAACTTCGCTCAGGGACAGCCATCAAGCCGGCGCTCAAGTTCTTGTCGCAGGTGGCGGCCAACGGCTGGGATGATGCCCTGGCCGACGATTTCAAACTTGTGATTGGCTACATCGCAGCTTGCTTCGCTACGGACTCCCCGAGGGTGATACATGCTCTTGATTCGCGGTATGCCATCAAGCTCTTTACAGATGGCGCATGGGACAACAAAATCGCTGGTGCGGGGGCTGTTCTCCAGTACGCCTTGGACCAGGGACCGAAAGTGGCGGAGGTGGTCGTTCCAGAATGCCTTATCGAGCACTGGGGCAGGCATGGCGGCACTCAGCTCATCTCGCAGCTGGAGCTCTTTCCCGTGTTGGTGTCACTGGTCAGCTGGGGCCCCCAGTTGGCGGGCAGGCGCATCCTGGCTTTCATCGACAACAACGGCGTGCGCGACTCCTTGATCAAGGGCTCTTCTCCGCTTCCCGACCACTTCGTCATGCTTTCGATGATTGCCTGGGTGGCTCGGCGGTATCACTTCACGCTGTGGTTCACTCGTGTGGCATCAGAATCTAACCCTGCAGACAAGCCGTCTAGATCGCGAGCGCGGGAGGCTGCTGAAGAGCTCGGTGGATCCCTTGAGCTTCCCTTGACCTTGGATGACATTCTTGTGAAAGGATTGCTCAGCAAGCGGTCCTTCATGGATATGTGCCAGGGGTCAATGCCGTTCGGTGATGGGGAAAATATGGGAGAGAGACTGTGGCAGTGATCGGTATGCCTTCGTGCAACCATCATGTACCGCCTTCGTGCGGGTGTGTGTGCATTGCTACCTCTGGTCTCTTGTGATTCCCGTCGCGTGGCATTCGAAGTTGGGCAGCAGCATCATCCCCTTTTGCGATCAAAATGAAGACGGTCCGAGTGATTGAGGCAATTTGATATGCTTTGAAAATATTCGATGTCCCATATATCAATTGGGAAATACTGACTTGATTGCGAAGTAGATTGAACCACGACCTTCGCGAAGCATCTATGTGCAAGTGCATCATGGTGTTTGTTGTGTTGGTGTTGGGGTTCAAGAGTAAGCCAACAAGACGGATAACCTCAACTTGTTGACGGTCCTGTCTTGTTTCGGCTTACCTCCTTGAACCCCCCCCCTCTGTGTGTGTGTGTGCGTGGGTGGATGGGCACTTGGTGCGTCGACAGTGACAAAACAAAACATTACGAGGAATCCTCTATTTGTAGTTGCGATAAAGAAGGAATTTATGTTTTATGTTTTCTTTTCATGTTTTCCTTTTTACAGTTCCATGTTGCTTTTACGTACATTCTGGAATGCAGAAGATTGTTGCAAAACATGGGCAGCACTGTGCTCAAGGAGCACAAAATTTTGTCTCACCCGCCCGCCCTCCCGGGAGAGAGACTGTGGCAGTGATCGGTATGCCTTCGTGCAACCATCATGTACCGCCTTCGTGCGGGTGTGTGTGCATTGCTACCTCTGGTCTCTTGTGATTCCCGTCGCGTGGCATTCGAAGTTGGGCAGCAGCATCATCCCCTTTTGCGATCAAAATGAAGACGGTCCGAGTGATTGAGGCAATTTGATATGCTTTGAAAATATTCGATGTCCCATATATCAATTGGGAAATACTGACTTGATTGCGAAGTAGATTGAACCACGACCTTCGCGAAGCATCTATGTGCAAGTGCATCATGGTGTTTGTTGTGTTGGTGTTGGGGTTCAAGAGTAAGCCAACAAGACGGCGAAGATCAATGGAGAGACCAAGGTGCTTTGCATGGCATACAGTACCCACAAAGGCTGCACTTCCAACAATTGCAAGTTTGAGCACCTTTGCCCCGTGATCCTGGAGAACGGTAAGATTTGCCTGCAGAAGCATCCGGCTTTTCAGCATGCACAAAAGGCAGGTGCATGAGGGGGACCGGGCCTGGACTATGCAGGCGAGGAAGGCCTGGTTCCAGTTGCTTTGCCTGCAGATGCTACAGGAGATGCTCCTTTTCCACAACCATGTGCTACCCCTTCGGAGCCCGTGGTACAGAGTACTCCTCAGAACTTTGCATGCTCTGTCTCGGAACTCGACTCAGGCTTTTTCCTGGACATCAACGGGGGGGCCCGGCGCCCTCTTTCAGCAGCATTTCTGGGAGCTGGCTGTGATACTTTCTCGGTCGCTCCCGAAATTTTCCCTGAACGTGACCTTCTACAAGACGAGTTCTTCTTTGCCTTGCTCAGGGTTTATCACTCTGGGCAGGTTGCCCTTTTGCACATCCTGCTTTGCGCCAGTGATTTCTCATCGATTCTTTTCGAGCGCATGATTCAGATAGCACACGCATGCTTTGCGGCGGGTTCTCATGTACTGCTTTCTCAGCACTCTAATTCTGCAGTATGGAGCCAAGCTTCGGTGATTTTTCTTTTACAGCAGATGGGTGCAGACGCTATTTTCTGGGACCCACAACGGTTTGGTTGCAACTTTGAAGGCTTTGGGCTCCTGGCTGCATCCTTTTCATCTTTGCAGTTTTTAGCCACTACATCCTCGACGGGGTCGTCAATGCAGGCCCATCGGGAATTCGACTTTTCTTCATTGAGTGCGGACTTTGTGCTCGCAGTGGCCGAGGGTTCTTTGCATCTTTTCGCTCAGAGAAGCCCGGAACCCAAAGATTTGCGGTTTGGCCAGATTCCTTTTCTGAGGCATGTCAAAGAGAGATTCGAGCCACCCTTTGCCAACCAGGATGGCGCTGGGATTTACTCGGTGCCTGATTGGAGTACGCCTCCGCCTGGTGTTCAGGATGTACTTTGCGATCTCAGGTCCAAACTTCGACAGTGGATCTTTGACGAAAAGATCCCACAACGTCTACAGGCCCATGCTTTACAGCACAGCTCAGAGCCACTCTTTCAGGAAGGTGAGATTCAGCATCTCAGACAGCTTTTCCAATCCTGGGTCTCGGAACAAGGATCATCACATGTGGTTGACTGGACGATTCCGGATCATCAACCTTATGCTTTGCATGCTTCGAAGTTCTTCTCGCAGTTTGTCAAGGACAAGGATGATACACTTTGCCAGTGCCTGCTTGATGGTGTTCCCACAGGATATGACAGTGACATCCCGCTTTCCAAGGTTTTCATACCACATCCGTCGGCACCGGAACTTGATCACCAGCTTTCCATTGCCAAGGACAGCTGGCAGAGTGCCAATAATGACCCGGATACTTTGCGGGAGCTGGTGCATGCTGAGGTCCAGAAAGGATGGTTGTTTGAGATGCCTTCTTTGCAGGCGGCGCAGGAGCGTTGGGGAGAGCGCGTTGCAGTAGGGAAAATGTCCCTTGTACTTTCTCCCCCGAGAGCTCCCAGGCTGGTGGTTGACTCCACTGTGTGTGGCACCAACGATGCATGCTCTATTCCTGAGCGCTATACTGTGCCAGGTCTACAAGATGTTCGAGATTGCTTTCCTTTACGCCTTCATGCAGGCCTGTGTGAAGGCTTCCATCTCGACGTCAAGGCGGCGCATAAAACGGTTCGGGTCAAAGAGGCGGACCAGGGACTGCTTGGTGTCACTTTACCGCGAGAAGAGGGTAAAGATGACAAACTTTTCTTTTACCGAGTTTGTCCATTCGGCGCAAACTTTTCTGCTTTGTGGTTTCAACGGCTGGCGGGTATGCTTTTACGCCTCATGCATCTCTGGATCTTTGTGCGCCATGCTCTCATGGGTTACGTCGACGATTGTCTTTTCATCCAGGACCGTGAGTGCATCCTTTATTCCGCGTCACTCTTACTTTGCTTTACATCTATATTCGGAGTGCCTTTGAGCTGGGCCAAGTTGCAATTGGGGAGTTGCATTACCTGGATTGGCTGGACATTCAACTTTACCAGCGGCTCTTTTCATATTCCGCAAGAGAAAGTTGATAAGCTTTTTAATTTGATCAAGGAAGCTACACGGTCCAGAAGGGTTACGAGTGCTTTGCTCCACAAGTTGGTGGGACTCCTACAGTGGTTCTGTCAGCTTTACAGATCGTGCAAACCTTGGCTCGCGTCTCTTTTCTCAGATCTGCATCGGCACTTGGCTTCCCAGTATAGCATATCACAGGGGCTCTGGCCTTCTTTGGCTAACTACCTAGATGATGATCTCCGCTTTACATCCGTACCTCCGGGTACTCAAGTTCCACTTGGAGGCAAGCTACTGGAAGCACGACATACAGAACTGAAAACAAAGCAAGACCTTTGCAAGGTACGTACTTCCAATCGGATCTGGATGCGGGTGACCAATCCCAAATCTGATCGGCGTTCTTTGTCACCAGCATCGCGGACCTTTCTTTCATTCTGGAGAGAATGGTGCCAAAGACCTCAGCCTTACACTGCTCTTTCTGTTCCGTTGCGACTCCAGGTTGAGGCCTTTGCGGATGCAAGAGCTGATGGCGAGCTTATTGGGATTGGCGGTTTTATTGCTTTCCCTTCTGGTGCATACATCTGGTTTTCTCAAGCTTGGCAACTTTCCGACCTGTCAGTTTTGGGTTTGGAACTTCGCCGACCCGCGCACAAAGATATTGCCTGTTATGAGACTTTGGCGCAGATTGCTTTGGTACATGCTTACAGGTCAGTATTTCCTTCGGGTCGAGTGGCAGTTCGCCTCCCCTCCTTTTCTGACAACGCCTCGACAGAGGCATTGGGTGCGAAACTTTACACCGCCAAGTGGCCACTGGGAGCGTTTGCCCAGAAACTTTCTCTCATATCCGCAGCTTCAGGTATCGAGCTGGATATTTCTCACATCGCCGGTGAGAAAAATGATGATGCAGATATGTTGAGCAGGTGGAATCAAACTGATTCTCTACCTGACAAATGGCGCAAAGAAGACCGGGTGGACTGCTCTCTCAAGTTCATCTGGTTCTTTCGCAAGGAGGTCCTGGTGTGGCCTTCCCACTTTTCTTTACCAGCGGTGACACAGGAACGACATGTGTCAGATGATGACATATGACAGTGCCCGCAGGATCTTTGCCCGGGGCCTTTATGCTGCTGCTTTGCGCCCGCAGGATATTTGCCCGGGGTGCAGCATGTGTTCCACCCGCAGGATGATTGCCCGGGGTGGCATGGTGCTGCTTTACGCCCGCAGGATTGTTGCCCGGGGTGCAGCGTTTCACTAGCGAGCGCGTCAAACCCTCACTTTGAACGTTGGGGAACCATAAGGCGAGACTTTGACTTTGCCGGTTAAACTGTGGGTCTAAACTTTCGAAGCTTCGTTGTAGCTTTACTTTGCTTAGCTTTGGCTTGCAGCTTCAACTTACTTCTCGCGTTTCCGGCAAAGTCAAAAGGTCTCTCTGCTTAGCTTTGCTCTGTAGCTTGTAGCGTGTCTTGGGTTAGGTAAAGTTGAACGTTTCATGTGTTTACTCATGGGTGTTTTACTTTACCATGTTCCAAACACAACATTTCGGCCCAAGACACGCGTGCTTCAGCATAGCTTAAAGCTTCGCTCCATGCTTTAAAATTTTGACCCACCCGCCCTACCCTTTGTGATGTTGTATCTTAGCTGTTATCATAGCTTTTTATACTTTTCGTACTTTTGTTGCTTTACTATGGGCGAGGGGGGGTCTAAACTTTCGAAGCTTCGTTGTAGCTTTACTTTGCTTAGCTTTGGCTTGCAGCTTCAACTTACTTCTCGCGTTTCCGGCAAAGTCAAAAGGTCTCTCTGCTTAGCTTTGCTCTGTAGCTCGTAGCGTGTCTTGGGTTAGGTAAAGTTGAACTTCCCTGTAGATTTTGAAGGGTCTGGAGAGGATGATGGACTGACAGTGCAGAAGCAACCGGAATCCTCAACACCTGGTGCAAACCAGGATGGTCCAACATCTGAACCCGTGCCTCAGCAATGTCCTCCCTCGGAGGGAGCCCTAGACACTCAAACCAACAACGGCCCCCCTGGTGCGCCAACCAGGAAAGACTGGTGCCAACTGTCTGATCTCCTTGTAGCGGAGCCTCAATTTTGCATGCAGGCAAAAGAGGCGGCAATCTTGGAGTGGATTGAGAAATTTGAGCACAGTCTGACCCAGGGTACCTTGGCGCATTGGGTGGCTTTCCGCATGGTTGAGTGTCTGGAATCGAGAGAAGAGGACACGATAGGCATTTTGGCTGGCATTGAAGATATTAAGGCCCAAGGACTCAAGCAAACAGGCGCTGGCCGCTGCAGCATCCTACAGGCTAATATCACAACGTACCGGTCGGAAATACGGCAATGGCTGGTGCAAAACCAGTACACAGTTGCCTGCCTGCAGGAGACTCACGTGCATGCAGCCAAAACACAGGAAATGTTGTCGGCTTTGGCAGCAGTGGGTCAAGAGGCCTGGGCTCTCCAGGCAGCGCCAACGGACGCTGCTACAAGCGGTGGCCTCGTCACGGTGGCCCCCAGCCGGTACCAAACTCGGCACCTACACCTGCACGAGCAAGAAGGCAAAGGCTTCGCTTTTATCGGCATCCGGTTTCGGGGATGGGAGTTGGCAGTCGGGAATGTCTACCTTGAGTCTGGAAAAGGACCGTCTGGTGAACTAAATCCTGGATTACTTGCGGCGCTTATTGATTTCCTACGTGACCTGAGATTGCCGTGGTGTGTGGTTGGTGACTGGAACTGCGCACCAGAGGAACTGGCCTCATCAGGCTTTGTAGCGGCGGCCCGTGGTAAGGTTGTTGGCCCTCTTGAAGCAACCACGACCCAAGGGTCGTCCATCGACTATGGAGTGGTGAGTAAAGAGCTGGTGGCCAACGTCCAAGTAGAAACAGATTGGGATGTGCCTTTCAGGCCGCACTGTGCGGTGTGGTATCACTTTCAATTGGAAGGTCTGAGCCTACCGGTACCGCAACCGGTGACGTGGGGTGGAGTACCTGGTGAAAACCAGGAATCTCTTTCCCCGAAAGTTCCGGTCCAGCAAGTCCAAGCCCTTTTTGAGCCACCTAGAGAAGAGCAGGTGAGCATCCATTGGGGCCAGGTGCTCCAAAAGTTGGAGTTGCAACTGGGTATGGAACAAAAAGGCCGAGGCTGGCACTTCCCTGTTCAGCGCAAACCGCTGGTGGCACCCAGCTCACCCTTTAAGCCTTGGCAAGGTGGAAGCGTGGCCTACTGGGCAAGATTGCAACTTTGGGTACAGCAGAGGCTTGACAGACCCCTCAAGCCAGCCCAAATGAAGCTTTTTGGTTACCAGGTTAGGCATATGCACCAGCATGTTGGTGTAAATAACCAACTAGATGTTGCAAAGTTGCAGCACCAGCTGGAATCTTCATGATAGGCCACAAGGTTGATCTGGAGGTGGTGCAAACCACGCTGCAACAGTGTTGAATTCTGTACATAGGAACGCCCCACACCTTTGGTGAGCCCAGGCTACGGTATAGTATTGTATAGTTGTATACTATGTGACCGACGCAGCGCCTTTGGTTCAAGAGTAAAAGCGTGACCGCTCAGGGTTTTACAGTTTAACTTGGTAGCGGAGCAAGTAAGCCTGAAGATCCAGGAAACCTGTGGGCCGAAGGGAACCGGATTGGAACCGGAAGAAGTATACGAGGATACCTGGAAACTGGACAGTAAATCTTGGAATTCGCCATGAAGGTGATCATGGAGAAGATGTACAAGGACCTCTTGCGATTTGTGTTTGGATTCTGTATGAGTATCACGCTGAGCCAAGGAAGTATTCAGGAAACAAGTTGCTTGTGGATGAACATGTCTCACCTTGTTATTCGACCGCAGCCGTTTACCCTCAAAGAGGAAATTTCGGATTGTGTATGGGATCAACTGTATCCCCAAGGATGGGAGAACGAGCGGAAGAAGGATCTCTCGTCCCAGCGGCAGGAACTATGGAACTCAACGACAGTGAAATCTTCCAGGATGAACCCCGCCAAACGGTATCGCGATTCACAGAACAAGAACCGTTGCCTAGAGTGGCAAGGCCTGGCATGGAAGAGGTCATGGCCGCACGAACTGCGGAGTTGGGAGAAATGCGACAGAGTGCAGAAGAAAGGAGAGCTGCATTGGTGGAGCAAGCTAACCTGCAAACGCCAGGAAGAAAAGCTGCAAGTACTCCAGCAAAGACTCCAGTATCAACTGGAGGAGGAAAGTCGCGAGAAGAAAAGAAGAAAGAGAAGAAGACTGCCCGGAAAGAAGCCAAGCAAAGTAGGAAGGCCGAGAAGGCTAAAAGGAAGCTGGAAGAAGAAGCCACAAGTCCTCAAGGTGTTCGACGTAAGTTGGATGAAGCTATGGAAGTGGCAGGATCGATTGAGAACGTCATGTTGCTTGAGAAAGAGTATAAGCGGTTCAGGAAGTATCAACCCCCCTTCCTTAGTATCTACAGCCAGATGTTGCAGAACAATTGGCAATTCAAACCCAGATCTTTCTACGATCCCCAGGAAAGGATCCAGAGACGGAGCGTCTCGAAGCTCTCAAGGAAGAAGAAGAGAAGAAGTCCGAGGCAGAGTCTCGGAAGCGTAAGCTTGAAGAGCTGGAAGAAAAGAAGCGTACCTTGGAGGCTGAGTCAAAGCGGAAGCAGCAAGAACTCGAGGATGAAGCAAAGCGTATCCGAGCCGTGGAAGAAGCTGAACGGAGAGCCAGAGAACTTCAGGAAGCCAACCGTAAGAAGGGCAAGATCAACGTACCAGTGGAGACTGTGGATCCGGATGAATGGTACCGTAACAAAGCCCGTGAAGTTGTGGACCGGTTGCGCTCTCGTAGAGAAGAGCAAGTGGCAATCTCCCGTAAAGCCGAAGAGGATTGGCTTGGAGCCTGCAGAACCCTCGAGAAAGCCCAGAGTGGATTCTTGGTGGCTTCGGATAAGCTGCAAAGTGCCATGGGAAGAGCCATCAAAGTCGCAGTACGCTACGGAGAGGAAAAAGGCCTCTCTCAGATCTTGCAGTCCATCCACGATGGAACTACCTTGGCACCGGAGCCGGCGGAGCCAGCCGTCAAGGCAATGCCGCAGCCAAAGAAAATGCCCAGACTGGATGCGAAGGATCCCAAGAGTACTGGAGAAGACAAGGAGAAAAGGATCCCGGATAAAAGAAGGTCTGGAAAAGGTAAGAAGCAACCACCTGAGGAAACCCCTGGATGGGAATGGACAGAGCGGATCTACGAGGAGGATTGGCCTGAGTCGCGCCATCAGCTGCGTGACGGAGAAGAATTCCTCCCAGGAAGTAAGCCGCCGTTCACCAGGGAGTGGACGCAGGAAGTGGCAAAGCTTCTATCTGGCTTGGCAATGCGCGGAATCGGAGAGAAGGATGGAGAGGTACAGCCTCTCTGGGAATTTCCCTGGCAGATCGCTTCGTATGAAGACTTTACAGAAATCAACGCGGAATTGGAGCATTACAGCGTACGCCTCATCCCGTCTCGACGGGAAAGTAAAGGAGCTGGACGATCCATCGAAGTATGGAGCATGCACCCAGCCGGGAAAGGCCGTTTGGACATCGAGCCTACCGAAACTTCCCGGAAACGTACTGTATTTGGAAGCCTACCTCCAGGAAAAAGTTTGTGCTCCCTATGTTGGCATGGTGGACACTGGAAGAAGGCATGCAAGTTCAGCGCGCTATGCTTTTGCCTGTACGAGCCCATGCTCACAATATTGGATCGTGGAAACAAGACGAGGCGACTGTATCCGATGCGAGGAATATCTCGCCCAGGGTACCAAGGAGATGCAACGAACCCGTACAAGAAGTTTTTCCCGATGCTCGCACTTTGCGATTTCGGGAGTATGTCCAGAGAAGTATCGGAAAGCAACAAGAAGTTTTGGGGAAAAGCTAAGGATGAAGGAGGCTTTCCAGTGCTGCACCAGGATGAGCAAGCCAATCGGAAGAAGGAGGCCAGTCAAGCTGCTACAGCGAAGAAGAAGGCCGAGCCGGAAAAGCCTAAGCAGGATATCTGGACAGCAAAGGAGGATGAAAAGAGTAAGAACGTGGTGGATTTGGTTGAACAAGGAGAAGAACCTACCACGGAAGCACCGAATCGAGAAGAACTTC